GTAGGTGAGAGGGGGCATTCTGCCTGGCCTCCTGCTACTGCTCCAAAGGGACGCGAGTTTTCCATACGTCACGCATCGTCTGCACTAGCTCCATGCAGGCATCTCTGCATTTCAAGTGGAAGTAGATGGCTGTAGACAAGTGGATTCAGCCTTATTTTCCTACCTTTAGGTGAGCTGAATCACTTTCTAAACTCCACTGACAAGATCACAGTTGATTGTAATAGGAGGCATTTAATGCCCAAATTCTATCATTTATACACGTGACCAGGATCCTTCCATTTTAGTGAAGGTGCTGTAAGCCTTAGGAGCCAGTGGCAGGGGAATCACGCTTTTCACTTAACAGTTGGCTTGAAGGGCTGAGACACATGCCTACGGCGGAGGGCACAGCCCAGCACAGTACTTGAGCCCTCTCCTCCCTAACTTTATCCATTTCAGGATTCGGGGCTTCCTGAACCTCTCGTTGTCCCACCTGAGAGGTCACAAGCCTCTGCTTGTCCCACGTGAGCCGCAGGTTTGCACTGCCACTTAGGGGAGGGCACAAAGCCTGCCCCCAGGGCCACCTCTTCTCTGCTGGAGCAAAGCAGCCCTGCAGGTCAAGGTGCTGCCCGCCGTGGAGAGACAAGGGGCAGAGACACAACGGACTTGAGGCAGGTAGGCACACAGGATGGCATCAGGGAGCGCATAAGGTTGTTACAGCGGTAATACCTACAGCCAGTAAATTCCAGTATTGTGAGGAACGTGGACAGGTTCTACACTGATACACTACGGTATCAATATATTGTGACCCACTAAGTGGTACTAGAGCGCTGCAGTCAGAAAACAAATGATAGTGAATACTTTCCTTTCTCTTCTGGGCAGGTGTTATTCCACGGCTGTTTAAAGTTGCTCCTGCTTGTGCCATAATGATCAGCACATATGAATACGGAAAGTCTTTCTTTTCTCATTTAAATGAAAAAACGAACCAGCGTCCTTAATTCTCCTTCATCCGATTGTGTGAAGTCAAAATATATGGTGAAATATACTGTGCCAAATTTGAACCTGTCAAGGCATTTTCTAGAATTCCCAGTGAATTTCTGCCATTATGTTTGGTGACTAAATGCAACATCATTTTTAACTGTTTCACAAAGAATAAATTCACTTTTTCTAGTTTCTTAAGACTAAGAAAACACACATGACCCTTAAACTATCATTGAAGATTTTGTGACTTCCTTTGCAGCTAGAGAGAAGAAAGGAAAGGAGAAGGGGGGGGGGGGGGGGGGGGGAAGGTGTTTATATATCACAGAGGCCAAGTCAGCTGGTTTCCCAATGCATGGTCCCACTGTGACAGGAATGACAGCGTCGTGGTGAATTTATGAACTGAGTCAGACACAGAAATCTGGGAAGCTAGTTCAAGGCAGTGATCGAATCTCCAGGATCCCCTGCCTGCACTTAACTGTATTAGAAATTACAGGCAAAACACCTACCTTTCAGATCCTCATCTTCGGTTGTGGTGTTACAGCTCTCTGTGGAACCCTGCACGGCAGAACAGAGCATTACCAGGCATCAGCAGTTGGGAGCATGAGTGAATAGTTTGATTTGGTTGTGAAGGAAGATGGGGAAAAGCGCAAAAAGAAAAAAGGGAAGGGGAGGGGGGGGGGGGGAAGGAGGTGCTCTGACTGTTTTTCAGTGATGATTAAAAGGGAAAAAAATAGAGGCTGGACAGAGCAATGAAGAATAACCACTGCATTAATTTTCAGTCTGACTAAAGATTTTTGTTGGGCATTTAAAATGATGTTTAGAAAATGTTTTGGGCTTCCAATTGTATGCTATGATTATTCCTCCATAAGAAGGTTGATAGAGAATGAATTCAATAAACACTTATTTGTTCTTGCTTAATATATCTGTAATTCTGTGCACGTTTGTTTTTTGCAGCTCTATATTTTGTGTAAAGGCATATTATAAAATAGTCTTTGGCTATTTATGGTTTATTTAAACCGAAAACTGCTTTAGGTCAAACTGGAAAAAAAGTACATCGTGCTCATTAGAAACCCAGAGAGCATCGATAGGTGCTGCAGGGGCTTTTTAGTTTCGGGCAATACTCTAAGAAATTAAAGCACACCCAGGCACTGAAGACAAGTGCCTGTACAGGTGGTCTGGAGGGTCGCTCCCTCGCCTGTTTTTGGGAGGTGCAAGCTGCCTGCCGGGGAGCATTCGCCATACACCGTCTGTATGGCATCACCTGGTTTTGAAGGCCGAGTTTGCTGGCATAACCACAGGTGGTTCCACGCTAGTTTGACTCTGACGTGTATCTATCCGAAGGCAAGAGCACGTTTAGTTTACTACTACAGGCACAGCCATCGTCTGCTATGGTGCGCTGCGCACGCGCGGTACGAACAGCTGCAGCATCTCCCTTGCCCATAGGCGCTTGACTTACTGAGTCAGAGCTTCCTCTGTACGATTTGGTTTTTTAAATTATTTTTTAACTACCCTCACTACATCCCTTCTTTCATGCATTTTCAATAACATGTTTGAACTTTATTTTTTGCATATTTTAATGAGGGGGCGTGCTGGTACAAAAGCAACTTGGTAGTCAGGTCGTTAAGACACCAACTTTCAGGTGTGCTTTACCCAAGAAACAGACTTCAGTCCTATTCCACTATGAAGAAGGTATCCCAGCATGTGTTTGGCCTTGGTGAAAATTCATCACGCACTGAAAAACGCTCTAGTTGTAAAGACATTAGGTACAAAGTTACAGCATACGGTGCAGGCAAGAGGTCCTGCCATAGGAGATATTTGTCACTGTTCCCCCATCGTGATTTTCAAAGTAATTTTACACTACAACCTCAAAATAAGGCCTAAGAGAAAGAAAGTAGTAACAGCAGATTTTGGACCACAGTGAATGAAATACAGGAACAAACCCCAAAATCTCCCTGTTTTGCAAGAAAAGAATTTGCTATAAGCTCCGTAATACTGTAGTTTGCCGAAAGGTCGTATTTTATCCCCTATGATTAAAACCGAGACAAAAACTAGTAATCGGCGATGATACAAAATGTTTAATTCACATGCAACATTTATGGAACGTCAAGGCAACAAAACATACAGTTTTGGCATTTTTTCAATTTTTTTGAAAAATGATTAATGTTTAGAACTGAGAAAGACACACAAAACTGATTTCCCATGCACAACGTGACACCCGGAAACTCACAGTGGTGTCAGACTACATAAAAGACTTCAGTTAAATGACACATGAATTTCACACCAGTAGCTCCAAGAAAAGAGCCATCAGCAAACATGACTGAAGATCATGATTACAGCCCCCTCCCAAATACTGATGTAGTGGGATGTAGAAGTGTTTCACAGCAAACAAGACCGATTAAATCACTGTACCTTGATGTAGAATGTTAACTTGTGGAATCTGGATTCCCTCACTGTACTTGTAGTAAAAATGCATCTCTAGTTTACAAACTAGTATTTAGTAATGTTACTAAACTGCCATGAGAGAACAGGTGCTTAATGTGATAACAAAAAAACCCAGTTACATGAAGTAATGGACATTCTGACAGTGTGTGAAAGGATTTAACGGTCAGAGTTTATTACAGAGAAATTAACTGGGTGGGTACGTGAGGGCTTGAAAGACAAGATCTGGTGGATTTTGCTAAGCTGCTTTAAAAATCTGCATTACAATGGCACCAGGAGTTGTTCACCCTGCCACGGATGCAGTGACCTCCAGCACTGTGGACTAGAGAGTGGAGGAGATGGACCTTGAACCTCCTCCAGCTAAATCCAACAGTGCGTTAGTTCCAGAGATGCGTAGCCTCATTCTTACAAAGGCTGAACGTTTCCTGTAGCTTTTAGCAACGGTAAGAATGAATCCTCTTTCTTTCAAGCCCACCCTAAGATGACCAGATTACAGTAGTAGTGCCAAGGTACCGTTACAAGAGGCAAATCAACTAAAACCGTACAGAGTGTAGTGACATACTGTAAACACCTAAGAGTAAGCAATAATTAAAAATCTGTCTTGTATTGCAGCTACTCATGTAAACAATTTATGAAAGTTCTTTGGCACAAAAAAGCATTTTCCCTAGCACTTATAAATACAACGTACTTACATGCATTTAAGTTTTGTTTAAAAAGTTACTAATCATACTGATAAGCATTACCTTGATTAGCAAAATTGTATCTTACAAAGAATTAAGAATATAGTTTGCAATTAAAAAATTAATTTGCAAACTTTGAAACTGTAGGGTAATCTGGAAAGTTAGTTTCATTTAAAAAAATGTCTCCCCTTTTTTTTCTTTTTCCTATCCGTAATTTAAATCAACGGCAAGTAATTTGAGAAAACTGACTGTGAAGTTCTGCCATATTACCTAATCAAGAAAAATACCTATTGCACTACTACAGGAATGAGAAAAATCTTTAACATGAGAATACTGTCATTACATTGTCTTTGTTCCCCCTTTTTCACTCTCCTTGGGATCTTTCCAATAAACACACAATCCAAACTTCCCAAGGTGCTAACCCCACCATCCTTAGTCCCCATCTTTCCAGCAAGGCCAATAAACCAAGAAAGTTCTTGTATGATGTTTGATTATCTGTAACTCAGGTCACTCAAAAGCATTCAGTGAGTTTCCTCAACATTTACAAATCGCTAAATATGCTTGATTTAGATGATCAACTTTTGTTATTCACATGCAACTTCAAGAATTAGTAAGAGTGTTTCAGTGTGATTCTTCAGTGCGATTCAGACATCTCCTAAGTGCCATGATACTAACAGGAATGCAAAATCTAACATTGAGTCAACTCGAGAAGAGCTGTTGCTAGGTTAAATATGCTATTTGAGGTCCTATGCAACATACACAGATGAAAAGCTGGATTTTTAGGCAAAATATTCATTTGCCTACAGAGACCGGCGTTAAGGATTCCCTGTCTGTTTTGCAAGAGTTGATAGATACTTAAAGCACTACAGAGAAGCACCGTGGCTAGAGTAGGGCCAGGCCATTGCAAGGAGAAACAAAGGTCATGGCAGTTAAGTGGGGGACTGATTTCCAACTGTTCCATTTTAAAAACCAGTCATAAGCATCAGATTGTGTGTCCTGTACCTGACCAAGTGCTTTAAATAATTCAAGACTAAAATAGAAAATCTGAAAAGTCCTCTGGGGGAAAAAAAAAAGTTTGAATGAAAACTGACAGAATCTGTGAATTTTTAAACAGGTAACCACGAAAATTAAAAATAAAGCAGCTTATCTGTTAACTTAGAACTAGCAGTCTTCATTGCAAGTAATTTTATGGAACATAAACCAAATGCATACAACACAAAGCTCTTCCTTCTTGTGTGTATCTCAAGATGGTGTTAAGCCTGGACTTGTCATCTCTGTTGTAGGACTTGCAAGATATTCACTTGATTTCAGACTTGTGAGAGATTTGTAGCTTGCTACGGAAGTAAGAGAGCCACAAAGACCAAGCAACGATGGAGTGTCTTCCTTCCCTGTTAAGAAAAACAAGAGTTGAGCTAATCATTTTTACAGCACGATGACCTGACCACAAAAAAATGAGGGAAGAGAAAAACAGTTTCATCTACACTATTATGAATTACATATTACTGCTGCAGCACACTCATACTTCATAAATGCAATTAGGAAGACACGTAATTTATGCCATACCTTCCCTGTCCCGGTGGTCAACAGATCCCTACCCAGGCATTACAAGCTGGGCTGCAGTCAGTGTCCTACAGAGGGAGATTCAGAGGCTCCCCTGACTACACGGAGAACAGAAGTTACTAATTCAAGCACCAATTTCAGCTTATTTAATATTTAGTACAATGTCAGTACCAGAGATCTAGTGTTGAACCCCTCAGAAAGGAGCAGAATCAGGATATATTTCTTTAAAAATAAACACATTTTGTTTTCTAAACCTTGGTAATTTGAAGTACATTAGGCTCCCACCACTAGAAAAAGCCCTACAGTGCAAGAGTGGCAGTGCAAGTAGCTGCCCTGTCATCCAAATACACTTGACAGTTAACATGAAACACACCTATAGGTATAAGACTGCATTGGACAATATTCCTATTTATTTTATGTCTTCCCTTCTCAGAATATCTGTTCAAGTTATTTTGTGCCAACTCCTCTAAGAAATTACATTATAAAGAATTTGATCTGCCAGCATCTCCCTGTTTCATCCTCCTGGTTCACCTGCAGAATAGAAAAGATCACCTTAAACTAGAGATTAAAATCAACTTTAAAAGGTCACAGGCACAAGATTTTATTGATAAGCCAGTCTACCAGAATTTTTTAAACACACATCTATTAAGTAGCATTTCTTAACCTTGTGTCTCCTGTTCCTGACAGAAGAGTTTTATTCTCATGAGAAGGATGTAAGAAAAAAACGGACAACCCAAACCACACCCTGCCCAACCATCCATTGGCGGGGGGGAAAAGTGAGATGTAGTTCTCTTGCATCATTTACGGTTCTTATTAGCAGTTTCCAGTAGGTTTTAGGTCTCACCTCTACCGAGCTTTTTTCAAGTGACTGAATAGCTTTCCCTAAGTAATGAACTAGATTAGCTCTTTCAAAAAGCCTTCACTTTTAGAAAAATCTTTATTCCCATAAACACTACTCTTTAAAGACTACGTTCAATTTGAGGACATAAAATACACAAAGAGCAGCGTAACACTGTTTGGGCACAGCCCTTGATTTCAGCAAGTGTGAAGCTAAAAAACTGACTACGCGAGTGAGCTTAATAGTAATGGGCAAGTTTACTACTTCTAATCTTCTAATGAAAACTGCCAGACTGAGAGTTAGACCAGAGGTATTTGAACAGCAGGATCACATGCCATGTCTTACAAAATTATATTAAAGCTTAGGTACTGATGAACCTCAGTAATTTAGAAGTGAGCTGTTATGCTACCTTTAAAGACAGAGTCTTGAAATCAAAACCTAAACTATTATTATTAGTGATTTTGCCACACCCTAATTTACAGAAGATAAAACAAAGCATCACTTCAACCGATTAATATAGCAAAAAACCAGTTGAAAGTAGATCTGCACGAGAACTCTCTTCATAATAGCCGTGCTGATTCTGTTTCACTTTCTCTAAGATAACTTGAAATAATTTAGATTTTAAGACTGTTTACAGTCTTTAAAAACGTTCTAAATTTTACAACCTTGATATTTTAAAACCAAGAAATTTTACAGTTATGAAATACTAAGGCTCTGTATTGTCAAGTCTATTTCAAGTTAACATTTGATGAGATACGAAACGGATTTCTTATAGCAATTTGTGTTCTGTACCCAAAATACTACTATTTCAGAAGTTTTCCAGCATTTTTCTGCTCTTCACCATTGACCACAAGATGGAGCAGCTAAACTTTGATAAGTGTACAGATTTTGAAAGGAAGGGTTGTGTGTATTTCATTTATATACCAGCATGGTTCATATCATGTTCCTCTCTCTATTTTAACAGAAACACTGTCGGGCTGCACCTCCACAGATAAATGTTGAATGCAAGATGTAAGAATGACAGTGGTAGTTGCAAATCCAGTGCCTTTAATCTTTCTTTTAAGAAACAAAAAAGCAAACTTAAAGAACTCAAAAGATTTGAGTTAGTTATAGCAAAAAGATGACAGAAGATCCTCCTTGTCGCTGAGCTGTCTCTGGTTCTGTGATGGAGAAGAAAGATACGCAACATATTTGAAGCTCAGCTTTAAATACAGCACGAAGTCTTATAATTATTGAGGGGGTGGGCATCTTCATAAATCCAAACTTATTTGAAGTATAGTCCTTAGGGAAAATGAAACAATTTGGATAACAATTAAAAATACGCTGCTCAATGCATATTTTGTTCACAGGGACTGAACAAAAGAACGAAATAAAATGAAGCCACTAGACTGGCTCTGTACCTTCATTTAACAAGTTCATTCCATCCTGCTTCCCATCCTGTGAGTGACCTGGATCCAGAGAGGACTGAGAAAGACTAACTTCTGCTGAAAGTTGGTCCAGACTTTGAAAACTTTTCCTGCAAAGCAAGTAATATTTAAAAGTAACACATTTAAAGATCTAACTAGATATCTTCAATTCTCCTTAAAAAGTTTTCTAAAACAACCTAGGCAGTTAATCTTTCTTCTCTTAAACACACTATTTTTTTTGTTTGTTTCCTAAAACACTGTTTTTTCCTCAAGCAATGATTTCCTTTTTTCTTTTTTTTTTTCTTTTTTTTTTTTAAATAAATTAATCCAAAGGAAGGAAATTTTTATGGTAAGCGAGAGAAACTGATTTTTTCTGCCAGCTGATCCTTGCACATTGTAACAGGTAATTCCAATAGGATATGTTTCAGAGTATGCTAAGGGAAATGTATAATTTTGAGTTTCCCTGTTCCTCTAAAGGTGAATCAAAATAAATATTCAACTTACTCATCCCATTGCTGATTGTGCTTTCTATAGAGCAGAGTGTCCAAGGCAACAGCATTGACATCCAGAGCTCCTGGGGAAGGCCACTGATTGGTGAGGTGAATAGTTAATTCTTGTCTTGATCTCAAGTCATTATTCTTTAGCACAGTCCTGTGAATGCAAAAAGCAGTAAATATCAGTCTATTAAATGCAATTCCTTAAGGTACAGAAAGAAAAACAAGACAGATACTCCTGACCAAGTTGATGTTCTACTTCGAGTGACCAACAGATTGCAATTTTCATAAAGCATCTTAAACTGTTCATTTTTCCTAGGGGAAGCAACTTAGAAACCTATTGAGATTTATTTAGAAACAGGAAAAAGTTGAAATTGGAATCTTTCTGCAAAAGCAATAAAAAACCAACTGCATTCGAAAGATTCTTTCTGCCAGCACGAAGGTAATTAACAGGCCAACTATTTTGCAAACCAGCTATGGGAACGTGATGTTCTTCAGGCTCCAAGACAAGATCAGCCTTTTTCCAATAGTACAAGGCAACCTCCAACCTACCCTTATACTGCCATAGAATAACTCTAGAAAGAAAAGTAATATTGCTTGTTAACCCATAAATCCTCCAATCCATGAAATACTAGGCAATAGTAAAACGCTGCTTTACAACCAGTTTGACTATCTGTGGCCTGAAGCAAATAGCGGATGTTACCTATCTCCATACTGAATGTACTCAGGAGTTCAAAGCCAAATGCCATGTTGTTACCTGAAATGCCAAACTGCATAGCAAATTAAATAACTATTCATGGTACACATACATTTATGGGAATTCACAAATAACATTGTCAACAGGTCTATTTTTACAATGCAGTTTTTATTCTGGTGGTATCTAAACTGTTTAGACAAGAATCTCAGTAAGGGCACATAACATGACCCAAAGAAACAAAATTTCCCACAAAACAAGGTAAGACAATAGCGAGTTCAGTAAGGAATTTTTAGTAGCCGAGTTTGAGAGAGGAGACAGATGCACAGCAATTTTGCAAGAGAAGGTGGTGAAGCACCACAGTGAACAGAACTATTTTCAAGAAACTTTTCTCAAGATGATGAATTCCCCCAGTGTTCACGCAAGTAAACAATCAACATTTCTACCCTGGGATCTTCCCCCTCACCCTCCTCTCTAAGGGGTCTACAGGAATAACCACTTTGATAACCCAAAGCTCTCAATAATTTCAAGTATCTTGTATGGTATTCACTTCCCATGTAATTCCCCTAATCCCATGGGGTACATTGAGCATTAAACAGGTCTGTTTAAAGGATTGTTGATTTGAGGAATCTGAAACACTGACCTAGCAAGTTCTTGTGAGGTTAACCAGTTACACTACATCACCTCCTTATTCAGAAGGGCTTCTTCTATGCTTTCATAGAAGTTTTGCGACAGAACATAGTTTGTATTAGCAACTATGCACACAGTAACTAAATGCGCATTCATAAGCATATAACACGTACATTTAAATTCCCATTTGGGCAATTCCTGTATGTTATCAGCACACAACTCAGCAGTAGGGTTAAGTTATTATTAAATAAACGTGCTGAGCAAAGATGACAAAACCACACATCTAGAGAAAAGTTGCTAATAGTAGAATTTTGGCATTTTACATAGGTTTCTATAATTGAGGCTTTTTCCACAAATCTTTATGCTATAGTAACCTGAAATTTCACCCTTTGTGTGGACAAAGAAATTCTGAAACAAAGCCTAGCCAAACTGCTCCAGGGATTTTAGCATAAGAACATTTAAAGACACTTCCAGCAGATCACTACTCAAACCACTCCACCATGCGCAGGAAGAAAACCAGGCATCAGGTAGGATACAGATGTAATTATTCCCCTCTTAGAACTTTTATGCTTTTATTTTGAATCTTTAAAAATATGTAAAAATAACTTTGAATATATAAAATCAGTCCAAACACATTATTCAGTATATATAAACTAGTATTATAGACAATAGGAAGTTAGACAAAATACTTGCAGCAGGTGCTGGTAGTTACCACCTATTTTTTCAGCCTTGTAGATTATTTAGCTGTTTGCTTTCTTGCAGCCATTTTTAAAATATCATGAGATCCCACTGCAGTAAAGACTTATTGAAGGCACTGCTTGCAAACAGCAATTCTCTCAAGATAAACAAAGGCAGTATCAATTTATGCATATTAACCAGACTTATTTTAAGAGTCACAGTATTAAACTGCACAGAATCATAGAATCATTTAGGTTGGAAAAGACCCTTAAGATCATCAAGTCCAACTGTAAGCCTAACGCTGCCAAGTCCACCACTACACCATGTCCCTAAGCACCCCATCTACACAGCATACATCATCCTCAAAAGCTTAATCACCATGAGGCAAAAATGAGCCTGCTACAAATATTTGAAAACAGGAAGAGGAAAAGAAACTGAGACAAAAGCATTTACTACAGAAAGGAGTTAAAAAAAAAAAAAAGGAAATGTGATCAAATTTTAATTAAAAAAAAGCATACAAATTTCAAAACACTCGATGTGAAAAAATGCTGCACAAGATTATCGAGTGCTGTCCTATTCTTGGTCAGGTCAGAGGAGCTCTTTCTAGAAGTTAAGAGCTCTCAAAAATCAACAATTTATTTTATCCAAGGCAGACTGAATTTCTACAGTAGCACTCTTGTTCCTCAGAATGCAAATACTGTAACTACTGATGGCCAACTCCAGGCTGCGGTACTGCAGGGTTTGAAGTTTCTTAACGATCACAATGAGTGCAATGAAGATTACGTGCTTTTCTCCGTACTTACTGTCAGGCTGTGTCATGGTTTAACCCCAGTCAGCAACTAAGCACCACAGCCTGTCCTTGAGCAGCAATTGCTGCCCCCCAGCCAACTCCCCCAGTTTATATACTGAGCATGACGTCATACGGTACGGAATAGCCCTTTGGCCAGGCTGGGTCAGCTGTCCTGGCTGTGCCCCCCCCCACCTTCGTGTGCACCGGGCAGAGCACGGGAAGCTGAAAAGTCCTTGACCAGTGTAAGCACTGCTTAGCAACAACTAAAACATCAGTGTGTTGTCAACATTATTCTCATCCTAAATACAAAACACAGCACTATACCAGCTACTAGGAAGAAAATTAACTCTATCCCAGCTGAAACCAGGACAGAAGAATATTACTATTAAAACTTACTTGTCTGCTAGTACAGCAAAATAAGTTTAGCATGTACAAGCTTTCAGAGGAAAAATTAGAATAAAGTCTTAATAGAGCAAAAATAAGAAATTAAGAATTGGTGGAGAGCTACAAATGGCAAATAGGGATATTTGTGAAATTTACAAGTTTCACAAAATATTCAAGACTAAAATGTAAAATTAGTATTTTCTGTTATTTACACACATAAAAAAAAGGAACTCCTGAACTCTTTGGGCCTTGACTGGGAAGTATTTCAAAAGTGTTACTAGAAGTTCACATAAAAATAATGTGATATATAAGCTTCTGTATAAAATGCTGGTCTGTAGTAAAACATACTGAACTGGAATGGCCTATGTACAAACAGATTTTATTCTATTGCTTCTGTTCCAGAGAATGAACTGCTGGTGAGAAACACCAGCTGAAAACCAGAATGACCTGAACGCCTGTAGACCGAGACTCAAAGCCTAGATTTTATGAAGGATATTACCTCATAACTTATAAGCATAACTTATATGGAACAAAACCCATAACACATCATAAGAATAACACTGAAGATCACAAGTATGCAGTTCTATTTTAAAATAAAATTCAATAAAATATTGTTCTATTAGTTTTGTAGCTGTGGTGATTTAAGGATGATGCAAGATAAGGTTTGTAGACAATATGTTAGGCCATTTCATGGAATCATAGAATGGTTTTGGACAGAAGGGACCTTTAAAGGTCATCTAGTCCAACCCCCCTGCAATGGGCAGGGACATCTTCAACTAGATCAGGTTGCTCAGAGCCCCATCCAGCCTGGCCTTGAATGTTTCCAAGGACAGGGCATCTACCACCTCTCTGGGCAACCCGTTCCAGTGTTTCACCACCCTCATCGTGAAAAATTTTTTCCTTATATCCAGTCTGAATCTACCCTCTTCTAGTTTAAAACCATTACCCCTTGTCCTGTCCCAGCAGGCCTTACTAAAAAGGCTCTCCCCATCTGTCTTGTAGGCCCCCTTTAAGTATTGAAAGGCTTTTAATACAGGAGTAAAAGCAAGGACATTCCAAAAAGGGAAGAGGAAAAGTAAAAGAGACAAAAGGATTTATTATACAGAAAAGTTAAAAAAAGAAGGAAACATAATCAAGTTTCAGTGAAAACAAGCCAACGAGCATATACAACAAATTGTTAACTCCTTTTCTTCAGACTGGAAATAGAAAACTTGAAAGCCAAAAAGAAGATGGAAACAATGGTTTCTAAATATAATAATCTCAGGAAGGTAGTTGGTACATGGCAAATACAGTGGATCTTAATAAGAGATTGTATGATTATTTTTTAAATGGAAGAAAGGCAGCATGTGAGATACAACTGAATAGGGTATCCTGGACAGACACGGTGAGACTGTGGAGTGCAGAAAGTTTTGTGTCGAGTAGGGAGAACATGTAAGAATTTATTATGAGAGCAGGGGGGTTAAACTGATTTATGGTACATCACCTAATCTAGGCATGAAAAAATTCTTGGTTGTCTGAAAGCCTGTGAACTACTTCTCCCCATCCACTAACTGGTATCTTCTCTACCTACAATCATTTCCATCTCTTTATAATCATGTTGGCAAAAAGTAGCAGCAGCTCTCTTTTCTGGTCTGCAGAAGGAAAACAATTCTTTTTCTCCTGCTCTCAACACTGGTGCCCTGAGCAGTCCTCACCCCAACAAATATTGTTATAAAGTAAGTTCATATCGTGTTTAAAGTTCTGAAAAACATTACAAAAATCAAGAAATACTGAAGAGATGGCAGGCAGAGATAGAACATTTCCAATTCCTTTGGAAGTAACTGCTGAATTGCCATTTTCATACTGAAAAGTGCTGAGGCAAACCCAGCAAAATGCTTGATGGGATTTATTACAGGAGAGGCATTGGTGATGCTGGAGACAGAACGTATGTTCAAAAAAAATCACTTTTAAAATGATTAAATATCCTTTGTATTACTTCATG